TTTGATAGTAGGTACAATAGTACAGAAATTACTTTTTTGCTTACAAAAAAGGTCACTTATTTAATATATAAATTACTTATAAAACTCCTTTAATATTGTCTATATACAGCCTATACGGCTCAGATCTCAGTCAGACGGTGCAGGCTTATGAATGAATGAATGTGTATTTTCACAATCTGCAGTGGAAACAATGAGCTGTGAAAACCAGCAAGCGTTCATTTCATTGATTGGTCGGAAGAACGTGTCTGTTTCAGCTGACCGGAGAGTGACCCGAGTGTTGCACTGGCCAATATGAACTGATTGATTAAAACATTGTTTATATTAATTGTTATGTTAGTAACATTAGTGAGCTGCTGTGTGTGTAACAATCCTCTTAAGATGTGAGTCCACGTGTTTCTACCTAATAACTGTACTGGCCTTATTAGAAAGGCATCCCCGCAGATTAAACAATAATGTTATTAATAATTACTCATATTGAATTTGGCTAGTTAGAACTACTCAGATACTGTTAGATTTCACAGTTTCTAAGCATGCTGGTTCCTCACATGGTCACCTTTTCGGCGTAGAAGCGGACTTCATCTGCTCGGGCCAGCGTGGTTTCTATCCTCTCGTGTCGGACCAGTCCTGTCAAAATGTTGCGCAGCATGTCGATCCTGGACCGCGGGCCCAAACCCATCCTCCGGGCCATCCGGCCGTGGGAGATCAACATTTGCAACGTGAGGCGCATTTTGTCGGATAGCTTCGCCTACGAGAGCCCGCGTCAGACAAAATAAAACTCAAAAAGCAAAGAAACGTTTAGAATATAATCTACCTAAACCACTGTTTCTACACAAAATAGAGCAGGTTACCTAAATGTTAGAAATATTCCGGAGGTCACATATATCAACGATATATGTGCAAGAGTTGACATTGGTGGTACGTCGGTTAATACGTCCGACTGGGTTGCGAAATTGCGAGAAGATAGTTCCGCTTAACACCGCCGCTACCTCACCTACAACTGGGGTCCTTTTTAAAAAACACCTTCTCTATATGTTTTTGTTTGTTTGGTTAAAAAGGATTGTTATACTGTTGTTGCGTGTGTGCATGTAAACTGTGTAAACTGATGAATGTTACGAAACTATTCATATCTAGATAACTGTTAGGCATTGTTGTGCCTCCCACGACTCAAAAGGTTATGATCCAGTCTCAAAATTTCGACTTATTCCTGTTTCAAAATTGCTGAACTTTTTTCAGATGCCACCCCAAAAAGGTTGTTTCAGTGGTAAAAAGTTTTTTTTAAATGATAAACTATCAGAGCATTATTAACCCAAGAGTTTGCAGGCTGATTTTAAAAGGGTTAGCTGGACTGAACTAGACTCATTCACCACTGAGTCAAGACAGAAGTAGAGTACAGATACACCTGAAAGGGCTGTATCTGAGTGTTGTGTGGTATAGATGTATAATAGAAGGTTTTGACAATGACAACTACTTAATAATAGTATTTTGCTTTAAAGAGGAACAAATATTGTTCTTTGTATAGAAGAATTATTTTGAAATGTACAGGTTTTTGTATCACATATTTTCCTGTTTGAAAGGCATAAGAACCAATAAATGATGTGACTGATTAACACGAGAAGGAGTTACTGACCAGTCTATGCTTTCAACAGATGCTAATATGAAAGCTTTGACATAGTAATGAATAAACCTCCCAAAACATGACTCGTGGATTTAATAGGACCGATGGGAATTTGGAGAATTTCTGTCACAAAAATACAGATTGAATCCATGCATCCATTTTCTTTTGCTTATACTTTTAAGGGTCAGGGAGCAAAGTTTGCTGGTATGCGCAGCATACATTAAATAGGTGATAGTGGTTTATGTTAAAGAAATGGTCCTGGTCTCTGTGCATTACTTTGATATAAATGCCAGGATTTGTTTTGTCAGTACATCCATAACCCCCAAAGGCACAACACTCTGAGAGCAAGGTAAGCAACCGATATTTGAATGAGTTTCAAATCTAGCTATCTAGCTATGAAACTATATGTATGAAACTTTTACAGCCATACCTTCTATATAGGATGCAAGCACAGCAAAATGTACTTTGTAATCACTAACCTTGACTTGGCTGTAGCCTGTTGCACTCCAGATGGCCATGTTCACAACAGCAGTTGCAGAATGTTTCCTAACCCACATACATATATATATATATTTTGATAAACCAACAAAAAATGTTGTTTCAAGCAAATGAGAAAAGACAAATAACACCAGCCAAGTAGACCAATCATTTGTTAAAATATGCATTGGATTTGTTCTTTTATGTAATTGCAAGGCAGAGCAATATTCACTTAATTAACTTTCTTCTTGACTAAAGATGATTATCAAAATTATTGCTTATAATTAAATATTATAAATGAGCTATTTATTTGACAGCATAAATGTAAATATTAAAATGAAAAAAGATATTAATAAGATGTGAAAATAAAGAACTGCATCCTGCTTTATGTGGAATTCCCAAAGTTACTCTGGTATAGGTTAAAATACATTAAAGTATCCCTACTTTTAAAAAATGTAACAGCTGGAATTAGTCATGATAAATATTAATGACTTTTTTTTAGTAGCTTTTACATTGACACAGAAAAAAATGTAAGAATTCTAATAAACAGTCTGAGGATTAGACATACATTTAGCATTTAGTATGCGGGACTCTTTAAAATCTAACAATAATTGAAATGTAGATAATTGCAGGACTGCAGGATTGTTAATTGTCACACAGCAGTTGGAAATCAGCAGCAAACCTCTGTATTACTGATACATTGATTATTCAAATCTAAATTTCTGAATGGGTCTGATTAATTTGAGTCATCCATTATGCTGCAATCATTTTTGCTATAAGAATAGTTACATGTTGTCCTATTTGATTTCCCACTGCTGCATATTTCTTTTATGGTTGAGTTCTGAACTCGGCCTTGGTGTTATGTGAACAATCCATATGTTGCAGCCATACGGGGTTAGATTTAGAAGCCTTACAAGTCTGGAATGGACCACCTGCGTCTGGTTTTCACCTCACTATCAATTTGTGTGTTTTAGTTGACTGGCTATCACAGGATAAAGACTGAAGTGAAGTAAAAGGATACAATTTCAGCCATGAAATCTCTGGTTTTCATTTTGCTAATTGAAGTTGCTTGCAACTGCAGACAGTGTCTTGTGCACTGTGTATGTTTCTATAGTGCAACAAATGAATTATTATTTCTGTGTCAACAGATGATGATGATGGGTATGAGTGTGAGCCCTACTCCCAGCCCCAATCAAGCGTCTTCTGTGGTTGCTCCCTGGTCAATGAGAACTGATGCAACTGATGGGAAAAATGAACAGAAAATCAAAATCTCTTTTTATCAGCTTCTTTGTCTGTCTTTTGCATGGAGTTGTGTATGGGAGATCATCATACTGGAGCCACTGAGGGTAATGAGGAGTTTGTTAGTGTTTTCCATATAATCCAACAAGCCTTCTGTGACAGTTTGGCACTTGTGAATGACATCAGGCTGCTCAAGCTCAGCTGCCATAGTCAACCAGTATGTGCAGCCTGTGGCTCTGCCCGCTGGCTGTGCCTCTTCTGGGACCACTTGCAAAGTCTCTATTATCCCCAATGTTCTTTTGTATTTGCTGCAGCTGCTGACAGGCTGCGGTGTGCAGAAATTCCCATCCTGTCTGAAGATTACTGTCACATTACATACCCCAATGTAGTTGACTACACCGTATTCTGTAAAGGATACCTGGATGAAGGCAGGCTCCTGCCAGATATGTTTCTACTTTTCTGACAACATACGTTCAAACTGGACCAACCACTTTATTTTATTTCTTTAAAGTGCTGAGGGCTGAGCATTGCATTGCAAAAGTTCAGAGTTCAAGTATCAAGATTCACTGCATGTAAGTCCAAGTTTTTCCTCTCAAGGTGACTCTGGAGGTGCTGATTTCTGCAAAGTTGTGCTGCAAGATGTATATTGGGGATATAGAAAAGCTGAGAAAAGCTATCCTACACCAAGGCATCATGTTAGTGCTTCCAAACACCCCATCCTGACTGATGCTGTTCAGTTTCTATGTCTGTGTTATGATTGAGTGGCTGCACAACACAAAGGCCATGCATTAACTGTGTATAAATTGGACTGGTTCTTATATAGCACTTTTCTACTCTATTTGAGCACAACTTGCCTCATTCACCTATTCACACAAGCATGCATCAGAGAGATATTTAGTGGGGATTGAACCCCCAACCTTCCGGTTAGTAGGTGACCTGCTCTGCTGCCTATATTTTTCAGCATTTATATCTCACATATAATTCTCCCTTTTCAAATCAAATCAAATCACAGCACTTGCTCTATCACAACTTTATATGCATGTCCTATGTTTTATGAATAAAACAAAGCACATCATTTCTTTCTTGGGGCAGAGGCAAACCTTTCATATCTGAATTTAGTTTCCAGATTACAAGGCTGACGTGTAACTGGAGATGTGGTATGTACCTTTACAGTGTGACCAGAAAAACAAACCAAACTCCCATTTCCGTCAGCTAACAGTTAAATTAATCAAATTTATACCAAAATAAAATTTGCGTGATTTAATTTGGTCTTAAGAGTTGCTTTATAGAATATTGCACAGGATTAATGTCAGAACATTACACATAAATGAAATGATTTGTTTTGCTGTGACTGTATTAACGATGCGATGCATTAGGGAAAGAGTTTCTAACAAGTTGTTTGGTTTATATTAACAATTTGTATACATATATTACAGATATGAAACATAAGTCAGTACAGATAATAGAGAAGCAAAAACTGTCTACATCACACATTGCATTATGACTTTCCTTGTTTGCTAAAAATTAAGCCATCCCTATGCAAATAGCGAGGCCAGTTTCAAAGACCATCCACAGAGATTGGTTCCTCACTGACCAATAGGAGCTCCCCAGCTCTCTCCCTGTGTATGTAAATCAGAGCTCCAGGTGAAGTTCTCTCATCTGTAGGATCACTCAGCAACCATGAGGTCTCTGGTCTTTGTTCTGCTCATTGGAGCTGCTTGTGAGTGTTTGTGAGAAGTTTTAAGGCTTCTTCTCTGCTAACAGTTGGTTGGCTTTCTTCCCAGATCTCATCATTAATCATCATAGCTTTATTATCTCAAAGTGGAAAATTAATTATGTTTCTGTATGCACTCAAATAGGTTTGATTTATGCATTTGACTGGAAATCAAACAGCATAGATGTTTCCCTCCTGATGTAAAAGTGTAGGAGTAAACAGTTTGTTTACACTTGTGTTTTCAGTTGCCCTGGATGACGACAAGATCGTCGGAGGGTTTGAGTGCACACCTTACTCTGAGCCCCATCAGGTGTCTCTGAACTCTGGCTACCACTTCTGTGGTGGCTCCCTGATCAATCAGAACTGGGTTGTGTCTGCTGCTCACTGCTACAAATCGTAAGTATATTTCTATAAGATCTATAAGATTACAGGTCTGATTTTCAGACCAAAGTTGTGCAAAATAAATTTTTATTGGAAGTTTTATACTAATTTCCTGTTTTTCAAATGTTTTCAGTCGTATCCAGGTGCGTCTGGGAGAGCACGACATTTCGGTCAATGAGGGAACTGAGCAGTTCATCGACTCCTCCCGTGTCATCCGCCATCCACAGTATGATTCCTGGAATATTGACAATGACATCATGCTGATCCAGCTGAGCCGGCCTGCCTCCCTCAACAGTTATGTGCAGCCTGTGGCTCTGCCCAGGAGCTGTGCTCCCGCTGGCACCATGTGCAGGGTCTCTGGATGGGGCAACACCATGAGCTCTAGTGAGTAACTTCTGCACGTTAGCAGTTTAAAGTTAAAAATGTTTCATGACATTTGGTTCCATCAGCATGAATCGTTGTTCATCCATACTCTGTTTCAAACATTGCAGCTGCTGATCGGGACAGGCTGCAGTGCCTGAACATCCCCATCCTGTCCTACAGTGACTGTAATAACTCTTACCCTGGCATGATCACTGACTCCATGTTCTGCGCTGGATACCTGGAGGGAGGCAAGGACTCTTGCCAGGTATGTAATAAGTCAAACCTGCAACTGTCCCCTTCTCGAATAGTAAAGCTTTCTTAAAATGCCACAAGAGTGGATGTATCCCACAATGACAACAACACATTTAATTTATATTTAATTAGATTTAAATAATAATTTCTTGACATCCATCTTTGTTTTCTTTACTTTTATTTTCAGGGTGACTCTGGTGGCCCTGTTGTGTGCAACGGTGAGCTGCAGGGTATTGTGTCCTGGGGCTATGGATGTGCTGAGAGGGACCACCCTGGTGTCTATACCAAGGTAAAACTATATGCTTTCTTTAATTTAAACAGTTATGTCATATTCAATTCACATTGTGTGGCTTCAGTTAAACTTCATCATCCTGTCTACATTAACAAATCTCAATCTGTCTCCATTCACAGGTCTGCATCTTCAACGACTGGATTCAGCAAACCATGGCCAGCTATTAAGTCCGATCCTTCGATCACCACACCAGTTTAACTCTGCTCTTCTGTAGAGTTCTGAATAACATGCAGTCAACTAAATCAATAAAATCACACAAACTGAGTACTGTTTTTTCATTTGTTTTACAATATATACATTTGATCAATAAAGAACTAACATAGACATGATAGCCAACAGCTAATTAAGATGTAGCAGACAGTCATTCACAGTATTGTTCATATAAATGTAAGGCACACACAGAACGTTATACACCTTGACCTCCATTAGTTTTACCCGATTATCTGCAAATTGTTTGACAGAAAAAAGAAAAATCAGTGCCAGAGATGCCAGCAGGATCAACAAACTAATCCGCAAGGCTGGAAGCATCATTGGTCAGAATTTGGAGGTCTTTGAGTCAGTGAGGGACAGGCGGACACTGAACAAACTGGCCTCCATCATGGACAACCCATTCCACTCACTCCATTTCACACTTCTGAGGTGGCAGATCTCCTTCTCCATCAGACTGATTCAACCTCACTGCCATAAAGAACACTTTGGGAAATCATTCCTACCGTTCTCTGTAAAGCTTTATAACAACTCTTTACTCTGTGACAGGTGAACACACCTGCCAGGCATAAGATCCCAAACATATTTTGTATGTTTTGTTGTATTTTAATCTGATTACTTCTAAGTAATCAGATTACTTAGAAGCTTTTTAATTTATTACTCTCGATGAATCGCATTTAATTGCTCAAGAAAATTTGCCCCAGAGTCTGAAGACAATGAAAAGAGGTGGAGGCTCTTTGCCTTTGCTGGCTCCTTTGTGCTGGCATCTTTACACTGTTCCTGCAGCAGGACCTCAAGGCTGGTCCAAACCTCTTCTCGCTCTCCCCTTGCAAGACACTTTAAATCCTTAAAGCCTGGGTCAAGCACAGTAGCTATCTTGAGCCACTGATGGTTGAGTGTAGTTACACGTTGGGATAGGTCCTTTGTGAAGGCAGTTTTAAGTTTCACCAAGTAGTTTGAGTCATCATCAGAGGCCTCCATGGTGTGATGCAGATGGCAGAAAGCAGTTAAAACTACTAAACCTAAGACATATGTCTCACCTCCAAGAAGCTCAGTCACAAACCTGTAGTAGACAGTTCAAGAAAGTAATTATTCATCTACACAGTAACTGTCAACTATAGAGCTTTTTGAAGAAACAGTAACAAAGTTAAAAAATAGCTTTATTTGGCTGCATGGCTCAAGGACAGTCACCAGCTTTTGGAGTTTTACCAGCTCTGATGGAGTTAAAATGACTAACTTGTGCTTTTTTTTGTCTAAAGCAGCGAGACAGCCTCTTGATTCTTTAGTAGACAAGAAACCACATCCAGTGTTGAATTCCATCATGTGGAAACATCCTGTATGAGTGGCTCTTTGTGTTGCCCCAGTCTTGTTTGCTGCTGGTGCAGTTCATCCATATTAGCAGGGCTGTCTGTAATGCATCTAATTTTGCTTGCTTTTCAAGCTGTTGAATTTTACTTGAAATAGTCGTTCAGCACAGCAGTTGAAAAGTTGGATCACCTGACACTAACTGTAGCACATTGTCTAACCCCCTATCTTCTACCACCAATAGTGGTCTACAGTCCAGAGCAATCCATTTTGCAAGTGTAAGTTTGTCTGATGTTGACTTACTAATTTTGCCCTGAAGTCAGTCTTGATGCATTCTCAATCATCCAGGAAAGTAAATTGCCATCTTACAATGCTGTGATTGCAGCCATTCCCCAACTCTCTGTGAATGGTACTCATGGCCATTGATCAGTGGGTTTTGGTCAGTGGTTGTTGACCAATGGTCATGAGAATTTGCATAATTATGATGAAGGAACTGACCTCCCAGCCCATTGTTCCCTCAGTGGGCTGGTTTCAGTCATTATGCAGATGTACTGTTTATAAGATTGGGGAAACCCGCAGTCAGCTGAGACTGAAGAAGTCACTCGGATGAGTGATGAAACGTTTCTCCCACAAAACGCTACGTCCAGATGAAAAGAATCAACTTTTGGAGATCAGAAGTCAGTAATTTCATCAAGTTTGGGCTGCCGACACCTTTTTTGGTACTCGGACTGAGACTCATAGTGCTAACAGCTCCAACAGTTTCGGTCCTTGCTGTTTTGTATTTAGATGGTACCCTAAGGTTGAAGTGCTTCGGTGGTATGCAAACTCCTTTTTACACAGTTTGCACAAACCCACGCTTTTATCAAGGCTTCTGTCAGGTAGTCCTTTCAAAATGAACTTTGCCTTTGATCAGTCCTAGCAACAGGCTTTCTTCTGATTGTTGCTCTGATGTGAGCATCAGTTTAATCTATACCAGGAAATTGTGCATTAACAAAAGTTCTCCTTTGCTTGGAATGCAAAAGCTGTGTCCAAATTCAGAGGCTGCATCCTCCTGAGGCCGATTACGTCACACAGCGACATGACAAAGGCTGCCCAAATTCGAAGACTCCTCCAAATGCGGCTGACAAATGCGTCCTTTATTTCCCCAGATTTGAAGGATGGATTGGGTGTATCCTTCGTGGCTCAGCCTATCCCAGAATTCATAGCGCGGCACAGCTAATTCCAATTTTCAACAATGGCAGCAGCAACTTAGATTTAATATTACTCTTATTACTCTTATAAACTTTTAAGATATTATCAGGCGAGGATGTAGCTGTGTAAACTTCAAATATCTGTGTCGCGGTCGGGCGGATCACACACAGTGATTCGGCGTGCCCGTGTGGCGTGCTGGTTAGACCCAAGCGCGGCGAAGGCTAGCGGTGGGTTTGGAGCAGACACGCAGTTACTCTAGTAATGATCAGTGCGCGAAGCGTGGCTTCGGAACTGTCGTTACAGACAGAGAGCGAGTGGAGCCGGGAAGAGAAAAAGGAT